TTCTAAAACAATGTAAAGAAATCATAAATGATATTGTCATCATTTTCAGTTTGATAACACAAAGCCCTAGTAATATAGATAAGGGAAAAATGAATAGTACTACACCTTATAATCAGCTTCTATTTGAAATCAGAGACAACTTCTAAGCTGTCCGAAATATTCTTTCCTTTATTAACACCTATGATATAAGAGTGTAATATACTTACTACTGTATTACACATAAAATGTATGCAGATGCTGAAAGGAGAAATACGGTATGATTGTGAAGTTAAGGGAGATCTTATGGTAAAATATCAAAATTCAACTAGTCTAGAACTTGCAGAATCACAATGGTTTAGAAGAAGGTAGTGAAATGTACCATGTACTCCATTATCATGAAACTGCAACTACCATTAGCCCCACCCACCAGGGCCAATAGTAAGGGATACTTTAAGCTGCCGTTCAATAATATTTGGAAGGACACAAGTTCTCTACTTGGCTCAGCATTTCATTTCGAAGATTCACATTATTCCCAGCTAGTGACTGCAGTATAGCTTACCCAAACTTGGCTGTCTGCCAGTCTGGCAATGACACACAGGAAATTATTCAAGGACTGGAATTCCCCTTTCACAAAAGGTCATGTTAAATGGAAATATACTTCTGCTGGTTTTCCCCGAGGCAAAAAGCACCTAATGTTCTTGATATCTGTATTCACTGCACCCTTAATCAAAATTATTTTGGTTTTATTTGGGTAGATCCCTGTTCTAAAGAGGTTTGCTGACACATGATTAATTTGCATTAAACTAAAAGCATGATTAGTCTGGATTTTTTTCTGTATAATCAATTTAATTTCCCCACCTTGTTATTACTAAATAAAGCAACTTTCATTTTTTCTGTTCACAAACACTACTTCTTTATTTTCCCACACGAACGATTTTGTTTCTACTGGGAATTTCCTGTGAGGGAAACTTCATATTCCTTTGCCTAGAAATTTCCCCATGAAGTCACTTGGCAGTCCAATGTAAACCATGATTTCAACATCAACTCCACTCTTTACTATAATATGCAGATAATACTGGTTACTTTGCAGGAGTGCTAGGACTTATGGCACATGTAGAAAAAATGGTTCAGCTCTCCTGTGCCTTTTTACATGCTTATGCAGCATAGGAACAGTACTAGATGTGATTGTTCCTGCCTCCTTCCACCCCTGCAGGCTTTGGACTTCTATCTCAAAATAACACTGATACAATAACTACAACTTTCACAAATTTCATGAACTAAAATAAAGGTTATCATATGCCACCACTTATCTAAAAAAAATCCCCCACACACATACCCTTTATCCCTACATATGCATGCATAGAAACACACACACCCTCACAACCTTGCCCCAGTCTGAGGGCTTGAAAACATCTTACATGTTTACTCAGTAGTGAGTTTCATTGTGTTCAATGGGGCTTATTTTTACATTAGTGTACAAAGTACTGGAGCCTTTCCTACAATTTTATGCAGACATGGAGTTAAAACTATTCACTGTATTTGGACTGATTGCTGAGTAAACATGTACATGTGATGGTGCTGCAGGTTAAACCTCAAGGCCTCTGTGCTGCAAGGACGTAAGATCAGCAGTTCGAATCAAAGCGACAGAGTGAGCTCCCATCGCTTGTCCCAGCTCCTGCCAAACTAGCAGTTTGAAAGCATGTAAAAATGCGAGTAGATAAATAGATACAGTGGTGGCTTGACTTACAAACTTAATCTGTCCAGGAGATGTTCGTAAGTCAAAACGTTCGTAAGTCAAATCAGCATTTCCCATAGGAATGCATTGAAACCCGATTAATCTGTTCCGGCTGTTTTTTTTTGT